AACGCCTTTCAGAAGGAAGAAACAAGTCCAGGAAATCATAGGATCTGCAATAATCCTGTATACATGTACAAAGGTTCATACCAGAAAATGAGTTCAAAAACAATTGAAAATGAACAGAAATTGGATAAAAAATGTTACTTACATGTGTTTTAATGAAAATTTAATTCTAGGTTAAATCATTATAACTAAATTATTGAAAAACGACTTTTGTTTCTTTCCGAGTACCGAAGACATTATTTTTTAAACGACCCTTGTATAAGGTGACCTACCGTTGTACAATATCAGGTGTCCTCTGGTCCCCCTACTGATGCACAATATGATGTGACCTCTAGTCCCCCTACTGATGTACAATATACGGTGACCTCTGGTCCCCTTACTGGTCCCCTACTGATGTACAATATAAGGTGACCTCTGGTCCTACTGATTCACAATATAAGGTGACCCCTATTCCCCCTGCTGATGTTCAATTAAAGGTGACCTCTGGTCCCCCTATTGATATTTAAAAAAAGTGGCCTCAGGTCTCCCTACTGATGTACAATATAAGATGTCCTCTGGTCTCCTTCTAATGTAAAATGTAAGTTGACCCCTGGTACCCCTGCTGATGATCAATATTAAGTGACCCCTCATCCCCTTACTGATATACAATATAAAGTTACCTCTGGTCACCCTTTTGATGTACAATATAAAGTGGTCTCTGGTCCCCCTACTGATGTACAATATAAGATGACCTCTGATCCCCCTTCTGATTTTAAGTATAAGGTGACCCCTGGTCCCCCTTTTGATATACAATATACAATAAACTGGTACAACTGCTGATGATCAATATAAAGTGACCTCTCATCCCCTTACTGATATACAATATAAGGTGACCTCTAGTCCCCTTTCTGGTGTTAAATATAAGGTGTTTTCTGGTCCCGCTACAGATGTACAGTACAATATTAGGTGAACACTACTACAATATAAGGTGACCTCTGGTCATCCTTCCGATGTTAAATATAAGGTGACCTCTGGTCCCCCTACTGATGTACAATATAAGGTGACCCTAGGTACCCCTGCTGATGTACATATGTAACCTTTGGTCATTCTTCTGATGTTAAATATAAGGTGACCTCTGGTCCCCCTACTTATGTACAATATAAAGTGACCTCTGGTCCCCCTACTGATGTTCAATATAAGGTGAACTCTGTTCCTCCTACTGATGTACAATATAAGGTGTCCTCTGGTCTTCTACAAATGTATAGTATAAGGTGTCCTCTGGTCCCCTTATTGGTGTACAATATAAGGTGACCTCTGGTCCCTCTACTGATGTACAGTACAATATTAGGTGACCATTAGTCCCCGTATCAATGTAAAATATAAGGTGACGATTGGACCCCGTACTGATGCACAATATAAGGTGTCCTCTGGTCCCCCTACTGATGTACAATATAAGGTGACCCCTGGTCCCCCTCCCGATGTACCATATAAGGTGACCTTTGGTCCCCCTGCTGATGTACAATATAAGGTGACATCTGGTCATCCTACTGATGTTAAATATAAGGTGACCTCTGGCCCCCTACTTATGTACAAAATAAGGTGACCTCTGGTCCCCCTACTTATGTACAATATAAGGTGATCTCTGGTCCTTCTGCTGATGTACAATATAAGATGACCTCTGGTCCTACTACTAATGTAGAATATAAGGGGTCCTCTAGTCCTCCCCCTTATTGATGTTCAATATAAGGTGACTTCTGGTCCCTCTACTGATGTAAAGTACAATATTAGTTGACCACTAGTCTCCGTACTAATGAAAAATGTCGGTTGACCTCTGGTCCCCGTACTGATGTACAATATAAGGTGTCCTCTGGTTACCCTACTGATGTACAATATAAGGTGACCCCTGGTACAACTGCTGATGATCAATATAAAGAGACCTCTCATCCCCTTACTGATGTACAATATAAGGTGACCTCTAGTCCCCTTTCTGGTGTTAAATATAAGGGTGTTTTCTGGACCCGCTACAGATGTACAGTACAATATTAGGTGACCTCTGGTCGTCCTTCTGATGTTAAATATAAGGTGACCTCTGGTCCCCCTACTGATGTACAATAAAAGGTGACCCTAGGTACCCCTGCTGATGTTCAATATAAGGTGACCCTAGGTACCCCTGCTGTTGTACATATGTAACCTCTGGTCATCCTTCTGATGTTCAATATAAGGTGACCTCTGGTCCCCCTACTTATGTACAATATAAAGTGACCTCTGGTCCCCCTACTGATATTCAATATAAGGTGAACTCTGTTCCTCCTACTGATGTATAATATGAGATGACCTTTGGTCCCCCTACTGATGTACAATATAAGGTGTCCTCTGGTCCCCTTATTGGTGTACAATATAAGGTGCCCTCTGGTCCCTCTACTGATGTACAGTACAATATTAGGTGACCATTAGTCCCCGTATTAATGTAAAATATCAGGCGACCTCTGGTCCCCGTCCTGATGTACAATATAAGGTGTCCTCTGGTCCCCCTACTGATGTACAATATAAGGTGACCTCTGGTCTCTCTACTGATGTACAGTACAATATTAGGTGACCACTATTCCCCATACATGTACTTAATGTAAAATATCGGCTGACCTCTGGTCCCCGTACTGATGTACAATATAAGGTGTCCTCTCGTCCCCCTACTGATGTTCAATATATGGTGACCTCTGCCCCTCTACTTATGTACAATATAAGGTGTCTTCTGGTCCCCCTACAGATGTATACTATAAGGTGTCCTCTGCCCCCCCCCCCCCCCACTGATGCACAATATAAGGTGCCCTCTGATCTCCCTACTGATGTACAATATAAGGTGTCCTCTGGTCCCTCTACTGATGTATATTACAATATTAGGTTACCTGTAGTCCCCCTACTGATGTACAATATAGGGTGACCTCTAGTCCCCCACATGATGTACGATATAAGGCATCCCCAGGTCTCCCGTATTATGTGCAATATAAGATTACCTTTGACCCCTATTTATTTAAAATGTAGGGTACATATGATCCCTCTGATGATGTACAATATAAGGTGACCACTGGTCTCCCTAATGATGTTAAATGTAAGGTGATCTTTGGTCCCCCTATTGATGTACAATATGAGGTTACCTCTGGTCACCCTTTATTACTTTCACGTTTCTGCTAATATAGATATTAGAAAGCTGATCTTTATAAAGTTATAAATATGATTATTTTGGAGTCAAACAAAGAAAAATGTCTATCATATAAAATTCAATTCATATATAAGGTGACCTGAGGTCTCCGTATTGATATCGATGAATTTACTTTTGTGCCTTTAATGCCTGGAGAGTTCCTAGAATGTTTTATTACTACGCATAACGACGAACTATTTGCGGGGAACCCCAGGTCCTAGTTCAGCGTACGTTTTATCCTTCTGCCTTTATAACTCGCCTATAAGTCGGACATAGAGTTTTAGACAAATATACTCCCAAAATACCGACTTATAGGCGAGTATATACGGTAATGTGATGTCGACGTCACATGACTTTGGCAATTATACTTGCAGTTTAGAGGTCATCTATAAATTTCAATATTGCAAGGGCATAACCAAGATAAAAATCTTAGTTTATTTTATAATCCTTTACAACACTATATGTAGTTTATGAGAAGTGCTGCGAACCTATATAGATTCCCTTTTTAATTGGTAAAATTTAATTTGTTGGACGGCAGGTTGAATATTTTGCTGGTCAATTACATTAAATATAGCTATAATTAATCTATTTGCAAGATTTCAAGAGGTTCGCAGCACTTTTCAAATATCTTAATGCTTCTTGAGTTAATTTGTAAAATTTTGACAAGATACATTAAGGGTATGCCCTTGCAATAAATCGATTTATTAGGGTCCTTCCATTACTTTTTCAATGAATCTGCATACAAACACACGACAGTATCGCTTGTCTGGAGAATGCACGTACAGTTTATCAATAAAATACTAAAATAGACATCGCATCCAAGTTAACGACTTTTTATTTTCCTGCAAATAAAATTTCATTTGAGAACAAAAGACATTTTTCATTGTATAAAATGTGACTTGATCAGCCTCTCACTGTGTACAAACTGCGTCATTTTTGCAAGATGACGTCACATTGACAAGTGCATTGCGATCGATGCATCGTTTACTGTTGTGTGGGATTTAACAAATGACAAAACTTCATGTAATAGTAAGTTTGTATGTAGTATACAGCTATCCAGCTATTTGAAATAGCAAATAATTTCGTTTTGTGGTATTTTTAAGACCTTATATTATGTGTGACGTCATAGTAAACATTTCCCGTACAAATTAGGCCCCGCCTCCTTACAGTAACCTTAACTGTGCTGCGAAGAGCCAGGAATTGCAAGAGCACAATGACAGATTTATATGCAATTTTCTTAAATATTAGTGGTATTGTTGTTCAAATTCGTTTACGGGGAGACAGTTTAATTTCTGGAGGAGGCTAGAAAGCAAATATTTTGCAAAAAATCAAAAGGGTTATTGGAGGAAGGACCCAGAGTCAGAAATGCACTACATCAAATGTCTTCAAGACAGCGTCCAAACCTGCATGCCCTGAAGAGTAAAGGGGTTTTCGGGATAAACAGAAATTTTTTTCACATTAACAATATTCGCCAGATCTTTGACCTTTTGACTTGTTTCTATTTCCAAACTTGAAAAAAAAAACACCCATCAGAAGAAAGAAACAAGTCCAGAAAATCATTGGATCTGCCATTTTCCAGTTCTAGTATACTTAGGGTCATACCCAAAAATGAGTTCTAAAAACAATCAGAAATTAGATAAAATGTTACGGACACGTTTTTTAATTAAAAGAGAATAATAAGCTAAATCATGAAGTCTAAATCATTGAAAAGCATCTTTGGCTTCTTTCCGAGCACTAAGAATATTATTTATTGAACAGCCCTCGTATATTTCATTTGAGACAATCTTAAATAAATTTGCCACAGTTTTAACATTCGATTTCTTTGCAGTTCCAAGAAGAGTGGGTGTATTGAGAATTGTTCGAGTTTTTGGAATTCGTGTTCAAGGACCGGAAGAAGGGGCTACAAATCCCACAATGCCGCCTGATTACAGCGAAGCGGTGAAAAATCAACCGCCATCTTATGACGAAGCGACCTCTGGTGGAATAGTAAATCCAGGTTTTGGAATGTCAAATCCAAGTGATTCATCACATTTCCAAGATACAAGAACAATCGACTCTAATGCATAATAGTCATGTCGATCATTTAAGAGAGAGAGAGAGAAATTATATTTATAATGCATAATTTTTTTGTCATTTAGGAGAGAGAGATCATGGTAATCGAATCAATGCGATTGCAATGAAGTATTGTTCATATTATTTTATGTATACCAGTTTTAAAAAAGCAACCATGACACATGAACTTGACAGTTGAAAGTGAAAAAAAGGAAGACCCTTTTAAGAGCTCTACAGTTCAGATTTCAGGACTTACAATTTCAGTATGAAGGTAGATTAATATTTCATATAAAAATGGGGAGGAAATACTTTCTTGTCGGTGTATTTTCATTTCTGGTTAGAAATTGCAAACACATAACCTCTCTTACACATTATTGTATTTTACAATTTTTGTTAATAAAGTCGCATCTGTGTAACAGTTTGCAGACGCGGATCCAGAATTTTTTTCAAGGGAGGTGGGGGTCCACCCCAGTCCAGAAAAAAATAATCCAATCCAAAAATTTCTTGACAAGCAAAAAAAAAAAAAGTAAACTCGCCCACTCGCCTATTTCGTGGGGGGGGGGGGGGGGGTGTTAGTTTGTCCTTGAGCGAAATAGTAGTGAACTAATTTGATTCGGGATTGATACATAACACTGTCTTGATTTATAGAGGATGCTCCTCTTTGCAGTGCTCTAAAAACGTCACCGTAAATTCAAGACTTTAACATAGAGTGAATATTTTGATACTCCAGTATGTCTGTCTGAAATTTTTGTCATAGACAGCTACAGCTCTTCTGCTAATGCTTTGATGCTTGCATAATTCAGTAGATGGTGTTATAGCATGCCTTTAACATTAATTACAAAGCCCTCTTTTCCGGCCTGATTATACTATAGGTGAATTTTACGTTTAGGGCGTACCATAAAAACAATAAAATAATATAAACAAACATCAAGAAATCCACACGATGATTCTCCATATCAGACTCCAAACTGTGTAAAAATCAGACCTAAAATACAATGGGATGCAAATTAATTTAAAACACGGGAATTGCAAACTAATCTAAAATATGCTTACAATCATTTCATAATACTTTCTAATGCTTCTAAATAAACTTGCAAAATTTTAGAAAATAAAAACATTTGAAATCAATTTAAAAAAATAATAAAGAAAAGAAATACTAGTATATTTACTTGAAATACCTAAATGTGTGTTTTTCGAATTCCCTACAAATTATCCTCACATTTTGTCAAATTATTTCTACAGTATTTAGACCATACCTTGGGACATTCAAAGTGTTATCGAAGCTTATTTATACATGTATATTTTTTATTTACAAGTGGGTTTATTATGTTTTATTTCTTATCAGATTAAATAGACAAACTTCTCAATATACATGTAGCTTTTAAAGCCACTTTCTTTATTCAGACATTAATTTTCTGATTAAATATGCTTTGCAACTTTCAACCACATTCTCAAACATTAATATGTGGAAAAGTTTACGTGTAAAATATTATCAGAGAACAAAACATTCATAAAGAGTTTTTTTTTGGCAATTATAAAACATAACAGTCTTATGTATGTGTTGTAACTGAATTGTTAATAGACAAAGTACACAATCTGAGAAATCGTCACATCTCAGAAACAGAAATGAAGTACTACCAATCGAATTGCATGCATATAGTACGAAAAAAGTATTTTCACGTCGTTTAAATATACATGTAGTTACTTGTATACATGCAGTCATAAACCTTAAATACTGTTCGTTATCTCCATATATTTCATCCTCCTTACCTCTTTTTTCGTAACACTATTTGGAACTGCGTAAATTCTATAAACATAACAGAGTTTTTCATATTGAACTCTTATTTTACAATTAAGAATTTCTTTTCTTAAAAATCCAGTGCATTAAAATTTTTAATTCGGCTTTTTTAATTCATTTTTTTTTATTCATGGCGCTAAACCAAAACAAAGGTAGACGGAATTTGAATGACAGGTTTAATTGACACAACATACGTAATTATAAATGCATGTGATGAAATAATCACATGTTAAAGAATTCCAGGGAATTCCTTTTGTGTATCTAGTCGTGTGTAAAATTACGCAGGTACATGAAGTATTTTCCTAACATTTTGCAATGTAGCGTCCTGTAGATCAAACAAAAAAGTTGAAATCTTATTAAAGAATCTTATTAGGTTATTCTACGTTCAGTGAAGTACAGGTACTTTTTACTATTACTATATGTATTTTTTTTTTTGTCTTTCATTTGACAATGTGCATCATTACTTGGTATAGTTATTGTATGTACTTGGTATAGTTATTGTATGCACTTGGTATAGTTATTGTATGCACTTGGTATAGTTATTGTATGCACTTGGTATAGTTATTGTATGCACTTGGTATAGTTATTGTATGTACTTGGTATAGTTATTGTATGCACTTGGTATAGTTATTGTATGTACTTGGTATAGTTATTGTATGCACTTGGTATAGTTATTGTATGCACTTGGTATAGTTATTGTATGCAATACAGTTTAATCATGCATGTGAAGATAATATAGGTGCTATCATTTTTAGCTCAGCGAGGCGATCCACTGCATAAAAAATTGGTTTTACAAAAGAAGTAAATGTAATGTACATTTTATATTTACAATGCATTTATTTGGCTTTTCTGAAAAAAAAAAAATAAATTGTAACTTCACATGCACTTAAATATGATGTAATATACCTTCTGTTTTTGACTTTACGAAAAGGTAAAAATAAATATTTACAAGCATTAACACAGTATCTGAGGTAGATTAAGTTTTGATGATTACAAATCTTAAATTTGATTAAATACCATCTTTAATAACCAAAAAAGATAATAATTATGGTTTTATATTCTACTGAATGAACCTTGTGTACATGCTAAATATGCCCTTCATTTAAATTTACCTAAAATTTTGATTATCATGAGAAGGTATCATAAGACGATATGATCAATGAAAGATTATTTTTCCCTATTCCCCATTACTCTCTTATTATTCCCTGACTTTTTCTTAACTTTGAAATCTGGCATAAGCATTGGGCTGATTGTATATGTATATGGCCCATTGTAGATGTATGTTTTGTATTTAATATTGACGACAGTATTGTACGGGGGCTGTTCAATAAATAATGTCCTATTTATATGACATATAATACAGGAATTATATGACATTAAGCTTGAATTTCTCTTATAATTGAATTGAAAACAATGAATTGATAACTGTTAATGTGACCACTTTTCATCTAATATTTTAATTGTGAGGAGCTTCAAACCAATGGTTATTCTAGACACTGCATGAATGGTTAAGAATCAGTAAACTAGAGTTAAATTAAACGCTTCAATAGAGCTGCTGTAAAACTTGTTAGGAAATTTCAAAGAAATATTCACTGAAATTTGTTAAAATTACAACAAGCAATGTCTGTTTCATAGACACATGAGTAGGTGGATTTCAATAAACAATAATGTTATAATGGGCAACAAAAATGGATACCGTCCTGGGCGACAAGTACTTACAACAATTATCCAATGTTCTGTTTGCCAGTGTCAACAAATTATCACTTATGATGTTTGATTGACTTTTAGACACATAGCATATTTGATAGGCATCGATTTGGAGTAATTCACATTATTTTAAAGAAACAAATGTCTGTAAAAAGCTAAGTACTCAATGGTCGCCCATAATATTAAAAAAAATGAACAAAAAAGACAGTGTGTAATAATATGTCAAATATTATTTTTAAAAAATCAGAAATTGTAGTTTGTTTGAAATTCAACAGATAATGAAACTTGAATCCGTTACTTTAACTGTTTAAGGTATACCTTTACTCAGGATGACAATAAATTCCACTGATAAGAACGAAAAACCAACTATTGGACAATGTACACCTATGATTCTTGTGTTAAATTTCAATTTCAAATAGCTAGATCAATTACCTACTTTTCATGCTAGTGGCCACTCAGTATTTCTCGGAAAATACCTCAGTTTTTCACACTATGACCTTTTTTTTTCTTTTCTCACAAAATATTACAAGAACATAATTCTTTTAATAATGAAATAAAATGATATTGAGTTAAACTTGATTATTTTATCCATTTAGAACAATTTTTGATTTAGCATTTTATACTTTATAAAATTTTCTTTCTATTTTCTGAAACCTGCGTAAACGTCATCTTTAAACCCTCAAAACAAATTAACAATTAGATGCACTTGACAAAAACAACAAAGGTCTGAAAAGAGCAAAGAACTGCAAGAGGACACCAACAGTTTTATATGCTTTTTTCCTAAATATTAGTGTCCTTATTGTTCAAATTCTTATTCGGGGAGGCAGTTCAATTTCTGGAGTAGTCTAGAAAGCAGAATTTTTGCCAAAAAAAAGCAAATCAAAAGGGTTATGAGAGGATGGAACCAGAATCAGGAATCCACTACATTAAATTTCTTCATAACAGCTAGCATCCAAACCCACACTCCCTGAAGTGTAAAGGTGTTTTGGGAAAATCAGAAAGTAAATGTTTTGTAGCACCAATAATATTCTCCAGATCTGTCACCCTATGACTTGGTTCATTTTCCAAACTGGAAAAAAACACCTTGCAGAAAAGAGAAAAAAGTCCAGGAAATCATAGAATATGCCATATTCCAATATATTCCACTAAAGGCCATAGGGCCTACTCAAAAATGAGTTCTAAACACAATCAGAAATCAGATGAAAGTTTTACGAAGATGTGTTTAAATTAAAAGAGAATATTTAAGTTAAATCATTAAGACGAAGACATTAAAAAGCGTCTGTTGCCTACAATGTATGTCCGAGCACAGAGGACATTTTTTATTGAACAGCCCTCAAATATTGTTTTTTTTATGCTTGTACACTTACTCTGTTATGTTTTTGAAAATAATTTATTACCTTACACTCTTGAAAGAGTAGAATTTTAATAAAAACAATCCAAGGACATGATTAGAAATTCCTATTTATGAAGATATTAAAACTTGTTTTATGTATAAATATGTCACACGGTTTGTATACACAGAGTACTTACATGTAATA